GTACTGCACACCAGACAGTCAAGTTCCTCCTCCAATAGCTTTTGTGACGCAGTGAGTTAAAATCCTAAACCTAATAAAACCCTCTAGTGTTGTACTTCGAGCATGTGAAATACTCTTTATCAGTGACTGCGAAATGTGTAGACATCTCTAAGCGGAGTGGCATCTTTACTTATGCTTACTTGTCTACATCTGACATCGACTACTCCTTAGCTTACGTCTAGTACTTCGTACACAGTAGATCTTCGCGGTCAACAGAACCCAATGTCTACTTTGGACTCTCAATTGGCGGATTTGTCTATTTTCGCAACGACACTGCTATTTCGCAACTATTTCGACTCCATCTTCTTCTCTAGTCGCAATGAATCTATCGTTAGCACTGCTTCCTCGAGTGATAGCTCTCATTCATCGAGGCACAAGTTATCAAAGTAAAAAAGTGAATTCGAACTATGTACAGGCGACGTTCGCAAATTGATGTGTACAGTATGAGAAAGGTAAGAAGGTAACTACGTAGCACTCTTATGATCCATATCCATCCATCCCGGGGTCATTTGTAAAGATGACTTCATGATTCAAAAGAATCGTCTATGCGCAGTAAAGGTCGGAGGTAGCGCTGTCGAACTTGCAGTTGGAGGGGGATTGGATGGCAAGCTAGTTGGTATTAGCATACTGATATGAGGAAATATGTCATGGCTGCGACTTACGTTGATGTAGCCACCGTCACCGCGGCTGTAGAAGGAGTTGTCGGGGCCGGACATGAGGAAGCAGTCGTAGTCGGTGTTGAGGACACCAGACTTGAAACGGACAGAAGAGAGCTCGCGCATCTGGTTGGGCTTGGTGACCTCGTAGCCCTTGTTGTAGCAGACGGCGGCTTCGCCGGGGCCGGCGCGCTTGATCATCTCGGCGACAGTGGCCTGGGTGAAAGCCTCACGGGCCTGAGTAGTGAGAAAGTTAGTCTGAGAACTGGATATGATTTGTAGGGGTTGTGGCTTACAGCGTTCCAGTCAATGGCATCCTTAGCGATGTTGAGGGCAGCAGTGCCGGAAACACCGACAATACCAGAGACAACACCTCCGATGATGGCGATGGAGACGGGGTCGACAATGCGCTTGTCGAGCTCAGGGACAGCGGGGGCAGTCCAGTTGGTCTTGTGAGGGTGAGGGTGAGGCCAGGTAGGGACGGCGGCGGCAGTGCCAGCGAGGAGAGCGGTAGCGAGTTGGAACTTCATTTTGAAAGAGGGTTGGTTGGTGATTCAGCGAGTGAAATCGGGTGGATTGTAAGAGGCTGTTGTAGTGATGATTGAAGACTTGATGATCGTGATGAGGATATTGAGGAGTACTTCTCAACCTCTTATATATCCAAAGTCTTGCGCTGATCACCACCCAAGGGGTATATACAGATATCTCATTCGGGCCATCCTCGTTGCTATCTTGCTAAAGCCTCATGTTTCTGAGACCGCCCGGTCAATTGTTTTCATGTACTCCTTGGCTCCAAGCGTGAGGATACATGCGATGGAGTATGGCCAAGGAGAGGGATCGTCCGTGTGCCTTGCAGATATGGCGCGAAAACGAGCCATTCGGTGCGATTCCTGGACACGACATCATCAGAGCCTCAATACTCGTCTCCGCTTGTTCGGCGGCACTCATGAGGCTTGCCCGGTTCTAAGCGTGAAGACGCACGCATGAGGCTGATTAGTGAGGTACCTAGGTAGCTTGGCTAAGGAGGTTGCCGTTGCGCAGGCAGACATACTCAACCTTGGAAGGATCGTATGTGATGCGAGTCCCTGTAGGGAACCAGTTTCAGAATGCGTTCCTTGCCTATATTGTTTCCCGGGTACTCATCAACACGTTCTCATCGTTCAGGCGCACCGTGGTGTCTGTTCACTGGAGATAGATTACTTCGCAGCCGTTTCCCGTGCCGCAGTGACCGCTTGGGACCGCTTAGATTCCCGATCGCGATCCGTGGGAGCTGGGACGTCGTACCCCAGAGGACAGGTTACGCGGTTAACTTACTCAAGCAAGCCGTGGATTGCGCACTGTTCTTCGCCTGAAGCTTGCTCTTTCCATGGTCCATAGAGATCACGTGCAAGGCTGCCTATTGGATAAGGCCACATCTCGCTAAACTTCGTCTCCAGCCACCTGGCCTCAAACCTATTCTCAAAAAGACTTGATCGCCGGCATCTCACAAACTTCAAACACACTACTGCAGCTAAGCCGCCGCCGCTATGCCTCTCTTCCACAGGCTCCTGCTCTTCATCGCGAAGATCTTACTTCAAGAAGACTACAGTCTTCACATTGTAAGCTTACTTAATACCTTTATTACATAGCTTTTGCTAACAAGATAGGGGGAAATCTGCGCCCCATGCCAGAACTACACAAATTCCACCAGCGTCAACAATCCACAGTAGCGTCTCCTAGCCTGCGAATTCAAGGGCATGCAGCGTCCCATCATCTGCGCCTATGCCCACAACCAAATCCAGAGGGCTGCTATCCAAGAAGACAACAGGGGTAAAGCAAGGTGGACAAGGATCGCTAGCTTAGACCTAAGAGATCAGCATTGCTTGGTCATGGGCATCTTATTCTGCCAGGTGTCAGTCTAGGCTGTTCGGGTGATAAGCTCTATATTCTAGATATTCCAGAAATTTAAGCTGAAGGCCCTGCAACTCTTTGCCACAAGTGGCATAAGCTTACGGAGGATGCCGAATGCCCGTGACTAACTATTCCTGGTTAGGATCAGCTCCGAAAATTGAGCCGCATTCCATCTTCGAAGATCGTTATACTGAAGCATCATGCTACTGCAGAGGTATGCCAGCCTTCGTACCGGCTTCAAGCCGACTAAGCGCTCAAAACTCGTTTGTATGTTTGTTAGCATAGCTGTTATCGTTCTTAGCACGATCCGTCTGTTTATCACAATCACAAAAAACACGCCGTTTATCCTGAAACGACCATGATCTCCTCTTGGCCTGTTTCCTAGCCATGTTAGCGCGTTTATTTGCAGATGCTATCGCGAATTCACGTGTTGAAGAAGTCAGCCTGACCAGATATCTCCGCATGTTTTCTCTCCAGATAAATTAAGCTACGCTGGCCCAAGCCGGCAAATCGTATTAAGTTTCACCGGCGACCTGGTCGCTGTCAACTTGATACAAGACGATGACGTAGTACCCGAGACCCTGTGCTATAATCGAGCAACCATTGGTCTGACAGCTCACACGTGGATGCTTCTGAGAGACCGACAGTAACCATTCACATGTTATCTCTCAGACCACTCCCTCCGCATCTTCTCGAACCCCTTTACAAGCCCCTGCCCTCCTGTACCCACAGGAATCTCACCTACCTCAAGTCTCCTCGAGAACTCCATTCGCTGCGCAGCTTCAAGATTAGTGTCAAGGATATCTGTACCTTCTGCGGCATCTTGCCACTGTTTAACCGTAACGCTATGAGGATTCTTCCGGCTCTGCTCAATAAGGAATTTGACTTGATCAAGCTGCGTGATGAACTGCTTCAGAGTTTTGATGGCAACGTCGTTCATGGCGACTTCGGCTTGATACTTTGCATCTTGCTGGCGCTTCTTGAAGAGTTCAACATGGAAGCGATCATCGAATTGGGGCCTGGGCAATGTATGCATTCGTTCTTTTCGAGACATTGTTGATTGTGAAGCGTGACAGCTTGTTCCTCGCGATGGCGGTGCACCAGAGCCTGATGTTCGCCTTACCTTCTCGGCTTCTGCTTTTGGTTTCCCGATGTGGGCAGCGAGCGCGACGTAGGCTACATGCGGCACGCCCTCAACCCATTTCCCGGGTGGAAGACCCTCCCCGTACGGAAGACGCGCTGCGAGGTCAAGATATTGCACGCTCCTGGGCAAGTCGACTCGCGGCCAATGTTTCTCGCAGTACTCCACGCGTGCCTGGTTGTTGGAATACGGGTCTTCTTTCGGCCACCCCACTCGTGGCCAAAGCTTCTCTTGCAGGTCCCTTACCGCCGTAAGGTTTAAGTTCGGAACGGCTTGTGGCCGATGCGCTTGCCGGTACCGCTTCGCCTTGTAGTTTGCCAGCGCTATCATGTTCAAGTAGGGAACTTCCTTCGGCCACTTCTCTTTGTGATGAGGCTTTTGATAAATGGCGCGCAACTTGCCAGGAGATTTCTCAAATAGCTGATCCCAGTCTTCCGGTGTGACAGATTCTCGGTCCGCAGTGTGTTGGCGTCTTAGAACGCGAGACTGCTTCCAGAGTTGACTGACAGCGACTTTCCACGCACGGACTCTGCGCCGCATTATCAGTACCTTGAGGTCATGTGCGCGTTGGGCCTTCCGCTTTGCGACCGAAACCTTAATGCGATGTACTCGGTTCCTATGTTGCTGTAGCCGGCTGGGCCATCTTGAGACAATGCTATTTAGCCTATGCTGTAGGAGGAGATGCTTGAAGCTGACGCGATTCCAGCGCGTGTAGTGTTCGGATCCACAGCCCATGCTTGAGTACTCGGTTGTATTGATGGTAGCGGGACTTGGCTAACTACCTAGGTAGTGTTGCCGACAGTTGAAAGGGGCTTGGAAGAGCGTGACGAGTCGGTGATGTAGAGCGCGAGGGTGATATTGCGGTGGAGGGAAGCACAAGTATATACTAGAGGAATCTGGTTAGCCAGGCGGCAAGAGACGCAAGTGAAAAACTTGCCATAGATGAACGACTGTCGCTCTTCCAATACCAGAGTGTTCTGCATCGCCCATCGCGAATTCAGTGAAGGTGGTGGCAGTACATGTAAGCGACATGCTTCTGATGAAGAGAAGGTAAGAAGATGCTTCCTAGGTATGTCCACTGAGCGCGAAACCCTCCCTATCATTACCAGAGCAGTTGTTGAATGACGTCATGTATCAGGCAAAATAGTCACTCTGTAGAAAGTGGGAGATGAAACAATGCTGATGATAGAAAGCAATCCGTGTACTACCACGGCTCTTATTTACTAGCCCTTTCCATTCTCCTCCGAAAGAAAGAGATCCTATGTATACTTAACTTACTGCCACGAGCTGCTCAGACTAGCGCTCGCTTGACATTTGGGTACGGTGTAGCTTCTGTTCGGGTCACTCTCCCAAGTGACTGTTCCGCCACTGCTGATCTTCACGAACTTGTACTGAATTGATGAACCAGCCGCGAATGGGATTGTAATGGTCCAGACGGGGTTGCTAGAGGTGTAGCTGTTTGCCGAAAGAGTGAGACCTTTAGCTGGCGTCCAGTTGCCGAGCTGCGCGGTGTTACCGGTGATTTTAATTGTGTCACCAGGAACGGTGGTGATGCGGTGTGTGAAAGAGACCGAGACAGCTGTCGGGCATGCGGTCGATGTAGCAGTGGCAGTCTTTGTGGTAAGGGTGGTACCAGTGGTGGGCGTAGCGGAGCCAGCAGTAAGGACGATGGGCTCACCATTGCTGACGGTTACACAGATCCTACCGCTGCCGTCGGCGGTCACCGCGGCTCCGTTTCCGTAGACGTTTGTCCATTTTCCGTTGGCCTTTTGGGTGTTGAAGCAATGCTGCTGGTTGGAAGTGCTTCCGGCATTCGTAGTAAGAACGATAAGGTTACCACCTGCACGGCTCCAGGCGTAGGCGTTGTCCGCTACATACAAGTGAACATGGTCATCAGCGGCAAGACCTCCTGCAGACTTCCTCGCGGCAGTCAACTTCTTGATGGCCTGGTAGAGGTTCGCGTTGGTGTTGAAGCCGCTTCGCCATAGGTCCTCTCGGTTGGCTGGGTCGTCACCGCCAGCGTATCCTTGTTCGGTACCGTAGTAGAGGATGGGAATACCTCGTGCAAGGATGACGTAAGCCAGGGCGTTCTTGAGCAGGGTCTGATCGTTCTTCACGTTGAGCCAGCGCTTGTTGTCGTGGTTGTCCAAGAAGGTACCGAGAGCAGATGGGTCGGGGAAGGTGTTGCTGACGGTGTTCATCATGTCTACGAGCGCCTGGGATGAGCCCTTCTGTTGGTAGAAGTTGTTCATGGGGTAGTAGACCGCGTAGTTCAGAAGACCAGGCATGAGCTTGGCGTACTCGGCAAGGTAAGTTGGGCTGCCATCGAACACTTCGCCGATGCTGTAAACTCCCGTCGCAGAAGAGAATCCGGGCCAGAAGTCTTTCTCGACGTGCTTGACGGTATCGATGCGAACGCCATCGAAGCTGTACTCCTTGACGAGCCAAGAAACCCAAGTGTTCATGACGCTGCGGATCTCGGACGATTGAGTGTTGAGGTCAGGGAGACCAGCAATCTGGCACTGCTCGACGCTACCTTGGTTGCTGTAGTTGATGTCGCAGGCGGAATGGTATGAAGAAGCTTGGTTCAGTGGCGAAGGGCGGTTGTTCGTGATCGCACCTGGTCCCATGTGGTTGGCAACAACATCGACCATGACATAGACGCCCTGTACCGGATTAGTGGATGTATAAATTTAATGTTGCCTGACTTAGTCGTACCTTTGCATGAGCGGTGCTAACTAGGCTCTTCAGATCGGCAGCAGTACCGTAGTTTGAGTTGATGGCATACAGGTCCTCAGCCCAGTAGCCATGGTATCCAGCAGCCTTGTCTACGATTGTTGTTAATACACATAAAGTCCAATGTTGACGAGCGAAACGTACTTGAAACGACCGGAGTGATCCAGATGGCATCGAATCCTAGGCCCTTGATGTAGTCGATCTTGGACTCAAGTCCCTTGAAAGTTCCGCCACAGTAGTTGCCAAGGTTGCTGCATGATGCGCCTCCAGTGTCGCTGCTGCTGCGAGCAACACGGTCAGTGAGAACGAAGTAGATGCTGCGAGACTTCCAGGCGCTCGTGTCGGCCGCTGAAACGAGGGAAGTGAAGCCCAAGAGAGCAGTGGTGATGAGGTTGGAGAACAGCATCTTGATCAGCTCGATGCTTTTCTGAGCGGATGCTTGAAGTTGCGAGGCTGTGATGCTTTCGTTTTTGGATGAGGTCGGCCGCTGGATTTATAGACGTGCCACGCGTGGGTATCACAAGGCCACCCAATGTCCCTCAGGCTACCCCACAAAGTTGCCTTAATGCCGAGTAAGGCTTACACGACCTCGTGGTAGACTTCTGCGCCTCTCTGCGGTAGTCGAAGATACTAAGAAGCCGAAGTATGGTTAGAAGCCGCACAGAGAACGATGGTGATGCTCCGGACCGTCATGAATCCACTGAAAGAAGTGTACCTGGGCGATCATAGTACTCGTGGCGATCTCTCGGACCGAGTTAGAGGCGTCCAGTGTGCCTCGTGGACGTTTGAAACACATCGGTGGGGTACAGAAAACGGTCAAGGGCCCCGATCAGGAAGCTGCGGAATACTAGACCTCCGACTTTGCCATGGACGCAGTAGTATTGGCCGCTGCACTTGTTTGGCGTATTGGCTCTAGGGCAGACTAGAGGGTGGGAAGGCTCAGGGGAAATGAAGGAAGTCGCAGGGTCGAAATGAGGGTGGCGGCGTAAGCGAGCTGATGTGCCTCGGGATCGCGGCTTAGCGTCACCATCACGATCCGCCGTCCCCGCATTCCGGTACTTTAGTACCGCCCAAGTCAATTAAGGTGCGGGCCGGACAGCGTTCTGAGGTCTTCTGACCGTTCTGCATATGCGTCAGCGCGTCCTCTGTTTGCTGACGCGCATTGTTACCGACAGCGACCCAATGAACGCGAGGCCGCTTTCACGACCACGACTAAGACGGCAAGTCTCCGAAGAGCGCTAGACGCTTCCATTAGGGCATGTACAGATGGCGGACGCCCTCCGACTTCTAGTCGACGAGCTAGAAGAGAATCCGCGGGTTTGGGGATTTCCACGAATCCACGTGTTGAAAGGAGATTTTTCAGAGTCTGGAGCCGAACACGACCACAGCCGACATGACGCGAAGACGTTTCCGGGGTGCAGGATTTGGACGATGGCGCAGATATCGACCTCGCATCAAGAGCCTTGCAAAATGCACTCACCGAAACTTTACATGCCGAGGCGCTGCTTGGAGTAAGAGCCGACATCAATCCAATGGAAGCAAAAGCATGCTTGACATGCATGTGGAAGATCACGATAACCGCGGGTAGGAAGAAAGATTCTCTTGTTCGTGAAGTGGTCATCGGCATCGCTGATGGTGTGCGAATGTCACACGCGCACTCCTCTCGACCATGGCACTCCTCATAGTCGAAATGCATACGACTAGATGTGAAGTCGCTTCAAAGCGTGTCGTCTTGCTTCTCCGTCTGCTCTCTACCTAGGTAGTTGGCGCTCGGGATCTACGGCATCATTGTTGCAGCGCTTCAGAAAAGCGTCTTCAGCAGTGACTACTGAGAATAACCATGTCGCATCGACAAACCTGTAAAGTGGCCTGCGAAATCTGGCGGGGTCACGCTCAGCGTTCTGCTCTGCCAGACAATGTCTTTGTTGTCGGAGATGTGGAGGTATTTCGACAAAGCCATTCGTAAAGACAATTGTCCCCTTTGTGGACCAAGCTGTATAACATGGACGATCCTTAGTCTGTCGCGTGTCTTGTTTCCCAAAGTCGCATCATCACCGACAGTGACCAAAGAACGATCGCCCGCATCTCGAATTTTCCCTTACGCTTCATGGCTTATGCACACCGCACGAGGGCTGGAGCTCGACACACTGGCTACAATCTGCGCGGTATCCCGATACCGGCACCAGCGGCACCACATCCAAGACAAGTAGTCAAGAATACTGTAGCTAGACGAATTCGGAACGAATGGCTTATCACGCGGCAAAACAGGAGAAGCAGAGGTTTGGGGCGAAATGGTAACACCTGTTTTCGCCTGAGCGGTTTGCAAGCGCTATTGCATCTGCCAAAGTTCCTTCAATGGATCATCTCACACAACAGTACGCAAGGTAGTACGACTGTTTTCCCTTGTCGTCCTGTTGCCGCTATTCAAGCGCAACTAGCACAGGGCTTGACGCTGGGTAAAAGCGATACCTCGAAGAAAAAGAAAGACGAAGAACAATCAGAAGATCTAGAAGACTGCCCCGCTTGCGCAGTCAAGACTCTAGCGCAATTTTATTGGGGTAATCAAAATCTCAATGCTGCTGGCTATCCCATGCCACTGCCCTTTAATCATACACTGCTAGATGCGGTGCACGATGTAGACGACGTATTGCGTATGTTTACACCTGGAGCGGGTGCAGGGAACGCGCAACAAGATCCAGAGGAGATGCAAACGAGATTACTGACGGCATGCCTTGAATCTGTTGATCACACGTAAGGTGCCCGAAAGATCCTAGACCGGCTTGTGCTAACAAACGAGGTAGTCTCGCAGTTAATACCGAATGGAGAACTCGCTATGAAGCACTCTTCATTCTTCAGCTTGATATGAACCGAACTTGTGCATGCGGTGCTGCCCGGACGTTGCCTGCAGGTACCAACGTTGACGGAATCGGGTTCAATAACGTCGCCATTCTCCCTCCAGGTAATAGAGATAGCGTCACAGATGCCATGCATCGACACTTCACCCCATCGCCTTTGGGCAATCTCCCTTGCGGTACCTGTAACATGCTCCAGCCGTTCACCGAATCCATACACATCGAAGGGTCGCCTGAGTACCTCCGCATCAAACTCAGTATTGTCCACCGAGGTAACAAGAACAATAACCCTGTAGTCCTCAACGAATATCTGGATCTCGCTCAATACCAAGCCGTCGGCGGCAATCCACCGTCGCTCAAGTATCGTCTGAGCAGTGTGCTGTCTCACTATGGACGACATCTTGATTCCGGACATTGGGTAGCGAGCGCACGCGGTCCTGATCACGTCTTCTACATCAATGATGCTACGGTTACCCAGCAAGACGCACCCTCGCGGTTGAGAGCTAATCCACAAATGAAATCGCAAGCTGTTGTTTTGATGTACAGACGAGTACATACCAGGTAACATATAGGTGAATGCTGTATTCGGTAAACCCGGAAGGTCGGCAAGTCGACGTTCTCTACTTCTCGCGATCTGCCAGCAGTTTTTCCAATCCAATAATAGTAATAGCTCTAACTCAGACGTCCGGAACTCATTCGCTTTTCTTCTCACTTACCAATGCCCCGTTGTAAAACATCACACTGAGGCTAGCCGGGACGACCCGTCCATGCGCGTCTGTCTGATCCCCTGAACGATATCTCTGCCACGTGCTTACGTCATAGCTCACTGTAACAGGCAACTGTGAGTGCCAAGCCCAGGCTTTCCGCTTGTATCTACCTAGAGTTCCCCGCCTTCCTCACTTCCAACCCTTCAAGTGCTCTTTGATTAATTCCGAGCGCAAGGTTGAAAGCAGCCATGATGACTACATTTCACCTCTTCTCCAACCTTCCCGCCGAACTGCGCTTTCGTATCTGGCACGTCGCACTCGAGGACGACTACACCGACTTGAAGGGACGCCATCGCATTATCGAGCTACACAACTACAAAGCCGGCCCCCAGGTGGGCGTCGCTGTGTCTCGCCGTTACCCTACTCTTTTCGAGGTCAGCCGCGAAGCACGATGTGAAGCTGCTAAAGCCGGCGGCGGAGAGTGGACTACTGTACGTGTTTTGCCCAGTATTAGTAACTTGTTTGGGACGTTGACGCGCTGACATCCTCGTCAATGTATAGGTGAAGGCACGATTCGACGGCAGACAGGAGCCAGGCCATACCACCAGCTTCAAGATTTACATCAACTTTTCACACGATGTAGTTCTCCTCTCAGATCGAGCCATCTCTCAGCAAGCGCCTGTGGCTATACTCAAAGTTTACTACACGAGTCCTGAAGCTACCAAAGTACTAGTCTTGATGACTCTACTACCGAACGACGTCATCAAGAAACTCGCGCACCTCATGCTTACCACAACCGGAGTACGTTACCAGGGCGAGCGTCTTGAGAACTTCTCCTCACTCGAACGTCTTCATCTCTACGTCCGCTATGGCATCTATGACGTCATGTCCCCAATTAGGCAGCATATATCGAAAGCATGGAGGCTCTTGGACTCAGAAGCACCACGCGTGTCGTGCTTCCCCCCCTGCCGTTCTACCACCGGCGGCTCCGTTGATGACCGGGAGACTATGGTTTGGGTCTCAGATTCTGGCGTCATGGATATCGAGAGTGACGGTATTCGCAGGGTCGAGTGGGGACTGAGGAAGGACTTGTGGGTTCCGAGGGCGAAGAAGGGATCGGGTACTCTGCAAAAGATTGGCTAAGGACTGGAGATGATGGGCACGCCTTGGACGCGAAACGATCAGACAGCGGGACTACATGGCAGATTTGGACTGTGCTGAAGGGTCGACCTCACCTATTGGAGCAATACAGTGTCTGATCAATGAAGCAGATAGCAGCACCACCAAGGAACTCAATGTATGTAACACATGGAAAAGCAGACAACGAAGGATAACAATGATTTCTCCTCATCCCCAGACCCAAACTCCCGCTATGCATACTTTACACACCCTGCACCTTCCGATAACTCGGCGGCTTAAGCGTCCTCCTCAACAACTTAACCGCATAAGGTGGCACAAGACTAATCGCCGCAATAACCGCAAACTTCCACCAAAACGCCACACTGCCCACGTACTCAAGATCAAAGTACTCCGTCAAAAACGGCACAGAACCAAAGTAAATCGCCGCCGTACCCACAATACTAGCAATCATAATCCAATGCCACGTCGTCACCTCCATAGCCACCATAACAAGCTCATTCACAATGAGTACGGAGAAACTGACGCTGACCATCTTGAGGAAAGTGGGGTCAGGTGCCGCAGGCGGTGTTGTAGATGTGCCCACGCCGATGAGAAGTTGAGAGAGACCTTGTATGATGGAGCCCTGGTAGACAGAAACCGCGACCCATATGAAGAAAGATTTGTAACTCAGACTACGTCCTGTTTTGAGTTCAGCGTACAGTTCCGGGTAGAGGTTCGCGACGCTCTCATCGACATCGCGATCGAGCACGAGAGAGAACACAGGCATCATGGTGTAAATCGTGCTGTAGCCGACGAGCAAAAAGTCTTTGTATAGAGCGTTGGGCTCAAAGCTGCTGGCGATGGAGAAGACGGTTTGGCAGATACTGATGATGAGACCGCGGTGAATGACGAATTGACTTAGTTTGGCGGAGCGCTTGTAGCTGTTGCGGCCGTGCCAGACGAGCAGTTTGACGAGGTAGCAGAATTGCTCGATGGAGAAGTCGGCTGCGAGAGA